ATAGTGAAAACGTTTAATACATTCATTCTCCTTCTTCAATAAATAATTTTCTGTAACAGCTGTACTAATGTTACAAAGCACGTGGAACTCACTTTCTCTACATATTCCCCGTGCTTAATCCCATTTTTCTACAGACTTCCAAAAGAAGACGGTACTCAATTCGACTATATGTTTTTTTTATGTGTTACCTCATAACTTTTTACTGGGTGTACCAATTTCGATGATTCGTTTTTCATTTGAAAGCTGTTGCTACACATGTGGTCCCATATAAATTTGATTAAGGTTTTGACCAACAGTTTTTGACTTATTCTTAATAATTTATATTGAAGTCACTTGTACAAAATTTTAAATTTTAAATTATCCTTTAAATATCTTCTCAAAGCGTATTACTTAGATTTTTAATATTATCCCATCATACTGCCTGTCCTTTCTTGTATATATCGTACTTTCCTTAACTGTCGTCATCTTGTGATTTTATTTATAACTTTTTTAATTTGATTGCATATTCTGTATTCTACCTATAATCTACCTCATAGATATTCGTTGTGAACAATTCTTTGCGAAATGAGTTTGTCTGGAAGAAATCGCTTCCAAAGCAATAAGACCATCTACTGTAACTTTTTATTTATTTAATTTTGTTTTTGTTTCAATGGGTATTGGTGCAAAATAAAGAATATATTGATTGATCGATTAAAGACAGCATTAATATGGTTTACAATTTGATAATAATATTCATCTCCTACTTTTCCCCTTAGAGGTGGAGTATCCAAACATCCATTAACACGTGTTACTTATTTTATTTTATAAGTTATAATCGAAAGCTAATCAAAAGAAGAATTCTCAATTTCACCTTTTGGCTAGAATTGTCAAAATGCTGAAACACGTGTCTCCTTATAAATTTGAAGACACTTTTCCCCCACTTTGTAAGGGGACGTTTTGAAAAATTCTCAGATAATTCCAGAATCTTCTACTGTAGAAACATCTAGAATGTTCGAGTACATACCGGTACCGATTGACTAGGTGTCGATAGTTCTAGAAAGTTCTTCCATGAATATTTCTATAATTATCTTGACTTTCCTAGTTCTCTCTCTCTGATCTTACATAGACTAACCAAATACGCAGGAGATATGAAAGTGTACCAGGTTTCTGAGGATACAGATGCACTGTCTATTCTCGCAATCTTCGTATTGTAACGACTCCCACCCCTCCCACTCTATAGTTAATTTTGTCTTTCTTTAGAATTTATATATTAATTTAATTTATATAATAAAATATATATTATAAAAAAATATATCAAATTTACGTGACTAGTATATTAACCATATATTGATCTTTCTAAAGGTCTAAATACAGGCCGTTTAATAAATCTATGGCGTTATCGCCTTAGCTAGGACTCTCATTTACGTTGTGTTTATTTAGTAACTTAGTTCTTTTAGGTGTCTCATGTAAAAATGAATATTCACTAGAGCAGCCGAAAGCTGTTGGTAGCGTCTTATAAACTAAAGAACCCCGTCCACGAAGACAGAGCTCAAAAAAGATTAAGAAAAATAAATTGTCCCTATTCCACTTGTATCAGGTTCACAACAGTCAATTCCTTATTAATTAAACTGGACCGTAGTCCACAGCAAAATAACTGGCGTACCAGTGAAAGAGGACTTGGCCCCTTGATAGTGCGTAAGCACAAACATCGACCGAAGTCGCGCATGTCATGCGTGTAAACACCATACAGAATACGATCAAATCCAGCCACAGTGAATGTACGTCACACGTATTAGGCAACACGTCGAAAAATAGGCACATAAAAAGCCCTCTAAAAGTGAGAGCCAGCACCTGCCAGAACGCCGTTCCTGTAGAAGTGATGTAAGTGTAAGGCATCACCACCAATTGCATGAACAGCACGGCCAATTGGGCGCAGAGCATGTCATGAGTCTACCGCTCACCTCAAGGGAATGGAGTCCTACGTTGAGCGGCTTTCGCCCGCAGCCTTGACAGCCTCCTCAGATTCTACCTCCAGCTACCACCCTCATGATGTCGACACATATGTTCCACCAATCAATACAATGGCAGATATAGCCAATAGGCAGTTATAAGATAATAGTAATAATTCGCCATCAAAAAGGTTTTGTGTCACTGACGTTGAGTAAATGCATTTTTCGATCATGTTAGTAGTGTAGTTGTACCACTTCTAGACCACCTGAGTCAAACGTGGTTCAACGACGTTCGTCGACACCCGATCCTAAAAAAAAAAAAAAGGTTTTGGCATGCTCTGATCACGGTCCATTTTTGTGTAGGATGCACGGTTCCGGAGATGTGTAGATCAATTAGCTAATATCTAATTGATATCCGGTAAGGGCCTCCACCGTCATTAGCGTCCCATTGTTCCTATTTCTATTGTTCTATTGTTCATTAATCACCTTCATTGCAGCGTGTGCGTCGACTATATCAGTGCTATTGTATTGTACTTCTTTGTTCCTAATTATACAACGCTAATCTGAATCATCAATAAAACACATTACATAATTTTGTTACAATTTTTATTTATAAAATACAAAATCTTATTAATTATTATCTATAAAATAGGAGCGAAACATCTCATCCACTAAAATATCGTTGTACAATGTGTTCCTTGTAAATATACTCGTAAAACTATGTATTGAACATCCTTGAAACTTATATAGCAAATACATTAAGCAATATTCGCCACAAACTGAAGTCCACTCATTCTGAATCCTATCAACATTCCAGTTCCATCTTTTACAATTCCTTTTTAAAAACTCTAGATGATATCGTACAGGTGATCGTCCATATGAATCAAAATATTGACCGACGTCATTCGCATCGATATATAAAGCTACCCAATGTGACCCTGGTTTATCATCTGTATCCAAATTACATATTATATACGTTGGTACGTGGGTATACATAGGCAGTCTATTAGCTGCATAAACATTATTTTCTAGACTGGGGTGAATCTTTTTCAGATGTTGTTGTACATCTAGTGTATCCATGATATTACTGCTATTAGTAGATTATTACAGTACCAATCTACTCAATGAATAACATAGGAATGGTCAATTATAGTGATTTCTAAATATTAAATTGCATTTTTGTGTTATACAAATCGTACTTGAGTCATTGATCATCAAACAAAACACAATACGAAGAAATGTTGAGATAGGCAACGGAAATGTGAGATAAACTGATATGTTTCTAAATATTAAATTGCATTTTTGTGTTATACAAATCGTACTTGAGTCATTGATCACCAAATAAAACACAATACGAAGAAATGTTGAGATAGACAACGGAAATGTGAGATAAACTGGTTGACGCATAAAGTAATTATCAACTCATTACGGAAATACTTTAGATTAGAATTTTTACGTACTGGTGGTATATAAGACCAACAAATGCAGTCATCGAGTTAGTGTACGGTCGTTTGACTACAGTGGATCTATCAATAGTACATTTGTGTTACTTCAATACACCAAAGGCTATGGATGTAAGTGTTTATTCTATTGACTAAATTACTTTTTTTCTGTTATTTTCATGTGTGTGTATTATTTTATTTAAATATTGTGTATGTATATGATTAAGCCGTGGTAACTCAGATGGTTAGCGCTAGCTGTAAATTTCACAGTACGCGACCCGGGTTCGATCCCCGCCAGCACCAATTAAATTGTTAATCGCAATTTTAAGTGCTTATTACCACGTGCTTGGTGGTGAAGGAAAACATCGTGAGGAAACCTGCATGTCTGAGAAAATTTCGAAGGCATGTGAAATTCGCCAACACACATTGAGGGAGCGCGGCGGACATTTCCTTGCTCTAAAACCCTCTCAGAAATGAGAGGAGGCCTATGTTCAGCAGTGGACTTTAATAGGCTGTAACTTTAACTTTTTTAACTTTTATGATTAAGTGTTAACAAATTGATATTAACATGATAACTGTGTTGTTGCAGAAATCATTGAGCTTCGATGAAGATACCTATAAACAGTATTACTACTCGCCACTCTCCCCTCAAGAAGAGAGTGATAACCTCGTCATTAATAATAACACATGCGATGGTGGAAAAAGAAAATCGCAATCGATTGATCATTTTTTTGAAGCTGAATCAAAAATAAAAAAGAGGAAGCTGTTATCATCAACCGTAGCACGAGCCGCTAGAGATGGTGTATCATACATTTCTACTAATTCTGACGACGGAGACCAAGCGACGCATCTCATCAAAATTGAAATGTACGATATGAAGAAGCTATCCAAGATTCCAACTACTGATCATTGGAAACATGCTTCCACGAGAATTAAATATTACGTAAAGACTAATAAGGATAGCATCTACGACAACACAAACGCCCTCGTATACAATATAACAAAGACAATAGCAGAAAGTGAAAAAGTTAAAAAATACTTTTTTAACAATGACAGTCATTAGCTGATCATAAGTGAATGTGATTCTGTTTACTTCAATTACAGGAAGACAAGAGCGGAAGGAAGAGATGAGTGTGGCATACGTGTACAAAACACATCATTGAATAACAAAACTACAACACTGAGTGGAGAAGAAAACGAGAAGAGTATGCAGTACTCAAGAGCTGAATATCCATTCTTCAGTTCAAAATCTAGCCGTTTGCTTAGTTTCGAAAACTGGCCTCTCGTTATGCGACAGAAACCTGAAGATCTTGCAGAAGCTGGTTTCTTTTATACTGGCCACGCAGACGGGACCAAGTGTTTCCATTGTGGTGGTGGTTTAAAAGATTGGGAAGATGATGATGATCCTTGGCAGCAGCATGTTCAGTGGTTTATTCAGTGTGCTTATGTAAAATTTCAACTCGAACAGTGTTTTGTATTAGATTAAATAGAAGATTTATAAAGAAATAAAAAAAAAATATATTGCATACAATTTGTTTTATTTAATTTTATAACGTTTCACAAAGTTACATACACACAAAATCCATTACACATAACACATAAAATCTAACACACAACACATATTATAACCTTAACTACTATAGTCTACAGTAACATTTCTGTTTTTATCTATCTCAATAATATTATCAAACTCAGCATAAACTATACAGTTAATTGTTTGTATTAATGAGGATTCAAACCGTACTTCTATTCTTACACTACCATGCTTTATGAGATTCCAATGAGTTGATGAGTTAGCTGATAAATCAGGAGTTAAGTCAAATGCTAATAGACAGTAACCTTTGCCATACTGTTCACAAGAGATTCCATTTCCTTCATTAAGAAAGTGAATACCAGTTCCCGAGAATAGAGTATGATATGCTGATGTAAATATGCTATTATTAAAAGATGGTTGCAAAGCTTTTGAAGGTATTTGTTGACCATCAATATATAAGCTGAAAGAATTAATACCATAGTTTTCAAAGTTAAATGGATTTTTAGTAAGGGAACCATTAAATGCAGAATTGTTCACAAATCCAATTATACATCTTTTCGGTACCTGTCCTAAAAATATATTATCAAGAGTTTTTCCTTGAACACCCGAAGGAATTGTTAAAACTTTTACTTCAGCTCGAGTAATAGGATATTTAGCAGTGGTAGAAGCTAAAACTTTTTGATGTGCGAGTAATACACTTGGATTAATTCGTGCTCGTCGAACAATAAGAGTTGCGTCCGTAATGCAAACTTTAAACTTTACATCGTTTGACCCAACAATTAAATTAAAACTCTCTCTTGATCGAACCAATTTAACACTCATTTCAACACCATTAATTAAAAATTTATCTTGGTTAAAAATGTCACCGTGAAGATGACCAATCATTTCTATTTCCTTACTTTCACTAATCAATTCCTGTCTTTTAACAAATCCTATGTTTTTACCATCTGTAGAATCCATTTTTCCTGCTGTATCCTCATACCAAAGACTACAAGTAAGATGAGATTGTTTAGCAGCAGGGGCATAGTTTAAAAGGGTTTCAATATATGCTCGATATGCATAGGTATTATTAGGTGGTGATACAAGTTTTTGGTTTAAATAAACATCAAGTTGACTAAAAAGTGAATGCAGCCAATTATTTACAGGTGCTACTATTGTAGTAGATACCAAGTTAGTTGAATCTTGATTTAATACTTTTGCCTTTATGTGGAGTAATGTATGAGACAAATCTATGTAGTCATCGCCGGTCCCAGGAACTTGAAACTCGATAGGTCCATCATCACCAAGAGATGAAATTGGTTTATAATGAATCCACAATCCATTTTCAATGCTAGTTTGTGTAGACGGTAGTGCAAACAAATCCAATTCTGACTTAACGCACTCACAAGAATGATTATGAAGGAAAGACATATTTAGTTTGAAAATATATCTTTGATATTTTTTGGTTTTAGACAAAGTTTTTTCGCAGCTTTCACTTTAGTAGTTAATGGTGGAATGAACGATGTCAATCGTTTTCTTTTAGTTTTATACCCAGATCCAGTCATGTTAAATTGATCAATTTTCTCATCAGCCTTTCGTTTTAAATTCGTACTAACTTGCTTTAGACGATCTTTTATTGAGGCTTCCATAGGACGGGCTTGAACCATATCCGATAAAAGTCCTACTCCAGCGCTTAATGCCTCCTTACCAATCACTCGAGCACCACTTGAAAGTAAAGGTAAAACTGATCTGAATAACCCCCCTAAGAAGCTCCCAATACCATGACCGCGTTGATATGGTGAACCCTTATAAATTACTCCAACTCCTGATCCAGCGTGATGTGTATAATAATTTTCATATGGACATTTATGATGATCACGAAGAGAATTCATTATTATAATTTTCGGAAATGTAGTTTAATACACACGGTTCCAAACTGGAATGGTATTTTTTGTCCTGTACTCGATCTTATAACTATTTCCAACGTATCGAACTCTCTTCGCATAACAGGTAAGTAGTGAGGTTGAGGGAAAACGTGCATTTTATTTGCACCATAAATGTATTTTGTAGGATCTAATGAAATGACTCTTAATAAAGGAGTCATAACATCACCCACAATCTGAGGATCGATAATGTCGCAATATAGAAATAGTTGAGATGGTAACCCTAAGTGTAAATTAGCAGGACACTTTCCAAAATTTCTCTCTAGGAGATTTTTATTTGGTTCATAACCTAGCTGTAAACTTAATTTGGGTGATAATGTTACGGATGTTATATTTTTATCCAATACCGAAATAGACACAAATTTTGTTATTTCATCATAGCGAAATTTCAAGTTCTCTCCGATACCATTTAACACTCTTAAAATATGCTCAACGTTATCATAGTTGGTAGCTGGAATATGTTTTTTGTAGTACACTGTGGATGGTTTATCTTCATTAGGCATTAACATAGATTTTGTAATGTATATAACATTTTCATGGTCTTGAACAGTAAACATGGTACATGGATATTGAAACTCGACAACTCCAACCGACCATTCACCTTCTAATTTTATAGCTTTTGGTAATTTCGTTGAAAAATTTGTGGTCTTGTTATCAGGAAAGTATTCCATTGAACTATTGCTGAGCAAAGTTAAATAGAAACTTTCTTTATTCATATTTCTTTTAAACTAGAAGCTAAAATCCAACTGTTAAATTTATCTGGATAACCTTTCCACTTCACTAATACTTCTTTTCTGTTACCTGAATAACGAGTGTCAATTATTTTATCTATTTTATGTTGTGAGGTGGGGTTGTAAGTGATTTTCTGTAATTCTCTTTCATAAAAAGTACCAATTATTGGTTCATTTTGTAAATCTGTTATTGTATAAACAACCCATGGAGATCTATCAATTATTGAAGATATAATAAATATTTCATCACTCCAATTTGATTCATATCCTTTTTGGAATACATGATTATATTTAGTTATTCGAACATAATCACCCACATTGAAATTTGGTTTAGGATTTTCTAAAGAAAGTTTTTTTGACCGTCTATCATAAAGATTAGTCCAAACTGTCATAATATTGTTGGAATTTACATCACATGGGCACATCTTAATACTAGAGTGAAAGCTGTGATTATAAGAGTATATTAAATCTAGTAAAACATCTATATATCTATAAGTATTATTATGAGTGAAATAACGCCACATTTTCATTTTTAGTGTTCTTTGAAATCGTTCAACAATACTAGCCTTAATGTCAGGATTGTTAGTGGTATAGTAATTAATCTTTTTGGATTTAAAGTATTTTTGTACATCTTTTGAAACAAATTCTGTACCTTTATCGGATTGTATGTGAGTAGGTGTTAAATTACTTTCAGTAAATATACTTTCAAAACATTCTTTAGTTGTTTCTGAGTTTTTCTTTTTTATTGGTCTTGCAAAAGCATATTTACTAAATACATCAATAATACAAAGTATATACTTGAAACCATCATTATATTGAGAATAAGTTCGCATATCACTTAAATCAGCTTGCCACAGTTCATTAATATTTGATAGAATGTACCTATTACGCGGGAATTTTTTTCGAATGGGTTTATGTAATGTGTATGTTTCTTGTGATTTTAACCATTCCTTTACTTGCTTTTTATTCATTTTACCCTTCATGGCTTTTGATAATTTATCAATACTACTAAAACCAGCGGGATTAGATGGATCATAATAAATCCTGTTAATTTCTTCTAGTACGGGGTCCATTTTTCCCACTCAAGTCCTTTACGTATTTTAGTTGTAGACTTTTTATCTCTACTGACCGGTGTAGAAAACTCTTGAACTTCAATCTCAGAGGGTTTGTTCAGATCTTTTGCTTGAAGTTGGTTAATAAACTCACATCTCCTTGGATTTCCAATATAAGTAAGTGGTACTTTAATATCTTTTAATGCTTCAGCAAATCTAACCCACCCTACCGGATCACTTCTTTTTAGGGGTCTTAGTGAATCATTTATTAAATCAACAATATTACTTCCAGGAATTTTTTCACTATCAATTATGACTGTACCTTCATTATCCCAATGTATTTTACTTTTACTTGTTTCAACTAAGTTTAATAATAACTGCCCTTTTTTTATGATAAGTTTTTGGTATTAAACTGAGTATTTGAGCTGGTGTGTAAAGTGGATTTTCGTCATTTTCTTTACTTTTACTGGATCGATTCTCCTCCAGCAAAGATTCAATATCAACTGATGTTTTTAGATCTCTATCTTTATTTTTAAAACCAATTTTTGACTCATTTGAATCTTCATTAGATGTATCAGAATAAATTGGTAATTTGAGTGGTTGACGATCCTCTTCGGTAAAATGAAGGTATCTTTGCAGTGTTTGTAAATATAATATCCATTTCTTTCGGTCTTCCGTCTTACTATTCATAATATTTTGCATTTCAATATCTAATCGAGATAAATTACTATTAACCTTATTTTCTTGTTTTAATTTTTCAATCAATCCAGGTTCGATAAGTATCATTTTCTTTGCATTTTCCATGTTAACTGGCTAGTCCACTCACTAATCCACTCAATATTGCACCTAATATTGTTGGTAAGAAAGCCCCTCCTTTTTGTATAATTATATTTTTTCTTAGTTTATGTTTACACTTACGTTCTAGTTTACGGAGTATGTTTTTATGTTTATTCAATTTTTGTTTATCCTGATCTTTAAGAGGTACTTTTCCTTAGAAAACGTTATGAATACACTCACAAATACAGTTAATTTCTTCTTCATCACACGTTTTAAGTAATGCTCTTTGATATTTTGGTTTAAGCGTATGCAAAGCGGTTAGCAAATGTTTATACGTTGTGAGTCGACGATGCATCATTTAGCAATGATTTCAATTGTTTGATTCTTGGTGTATTTAAACTCTTTTGTGGGGACGTAGACTGTACAGAAACCATTAAATGGAAAGACATTTGTCTTGATACGACAAAAATCATTGGTATTCTGTTTTAAATCTACCATTAAATATCCATGCGCCTCTAGAGTTGCATCCCTGTAGGCATTTTCAATGAATTTTGGGTTATCTGGTGATACTTGTCTTGCTAAATATCTTATTTGAGTTTTATCTCGAGGGTTTTTAAAATATATTATATAACTTGAGTTTAAAGATATGTCTCTTTGTCCTTTACCCTGATGAAATAAATTTTGTGTTAGATAAAATACACTAAGATTCCTGTGATGACTACCTTTTGTAAATATATCCACAATTCTTCCATCGGACTCTCTCATTAGATCATCAATAATAACAAGATGTGGGTTTTCACCATCAAACATATTAAGATTTGGAATTCCTTGATGATAGTTAACATTTGGTAAATTATATAATGGTTGCATTTCATCAAAGCACCATGTGATCTGATTAAAATCACAATTACATATTTCTGTAACTGATTTTATGAAATTTGTTACAAAATTTGACTTCCCACACCCACTTGGTCCTGCCACAATAGCAGTGAACGGATGGATAAAGTGAAACATAACACACGTCTAAAGTTCAAAGGGGTGAAATAAAAAATGAAAGTGTTGGTGTAAACAATTAATATATATTCCAAAAATTATATAAAACAGAATTATCTGTATACTATTTCTAACACAATTAGTACATCATAATTTTACAATTAACTCAACCTCAAATAAATAGAAACAACAATTAGTACATCATAATTTTACAATTAACTCAACCTCAAATAAATGGAAACAACAATTAACTTAAATTATTTACAATAAAACAATGATTAAATATGTAATAAACTACGTCATATTATAGTATTATCATAATTATACAATCAATATAAATTTTTCTTAAACGCAGACATAAAAGTAAAAACTATCAACACTTAACGCAGTTTATAATGACCCCAAGCTAATGTTTCAATATTATTATCTAAAATATGTCTCTTTGTGTCATTATATGATAAACCTATCTTATTTAATTTTTGTGTGAAAATTGTGTGTTTAATTGATTTAAATCTAAGCATACTATAATATTGCACTTTTTTATTAAATAGAGAAGACTTATAACTATTCATTGTCATCTTTTTAGTGATACATTTATTTACCCCTTTTGCCTTGGCTATAGTCTTATTCTCTAAGTTAAAAGCGTACATTTTGGATCGTAAACCCACAAATTCTTTCATGATTTTACCATTATTTTCATCTTTAAAAAAACCTAATTTCTTTTTATTTAATTTTGGATATTCAAAAATATTATTTGTATCATAATCTGAGGTATCAAAGTATGATGAAAGGTCAGGTTTTATATCAGTGTAAAAATCATTTGTAAATATATGATATATTAAACTATCCGTATCTGTATACAATAATTTGATTTTACTAAACTTTTTAATCATATAGTTATAATGAAAATCATACATTAATGTTTTTGAAATATC